CTTTAGTGCGCAATTTTTTATTTTTTTTTATTTTCGAATGACCACAGACAAATATGAAACATTCAAACTGAATATAATATATTCCACTCTAGCCTTTGTGTGAGTTTTTGCAAAATCACTACGGAGTTTATCTCAACCTTTATCTTTATGACACTTTCTTTATGCCTTCAGACAGAGTGTCAGACAGAAAAAAAAGTCAAATGTGTGGAAAGTAAAGTAAATTTATAGAATAAAAAATTGAATAAAAAACAGAGAATTTAAAGAGGTTTACTGATACAGTACAGTGCAGCATGAAAGTTGACGCAAAAAAACAGAGATTAGCGCTTTTCAGCTCTTTTACTAATTCTAAATGACCCGAAACTGTGATCTTATGAAAAGTTTTTAATTTTAGAAATGGGTCGGCTATTCAAGTTTTTGTCGTCCGACCCTTCTGTTTAGTGTTAAACTATGACAAATATTCGAAAATCAGCTAACCAATAATGTTTAAGAAACAAATACAATCATTTACATACATTTCAACCCCCTTAGATTTTTTCCCGGGATCTCTTGTCCCCCATAATAATTGCGATCAGCAGAAATCGGCGATTTTTTAGTATGGCATCAAATTGGGGACTTAATTATCAAGAGATAATTTGAAATATAAACATCAAATTAATCTAATATAGTAATCATCATTATAATTTCTAAGCATATGTTTTCTCTCTGCAATATAGATTTGAATAGAATAATTAAAAATGATGAATTGTTGAAAGTAAGCAGAGAGGTTTTCGAACATACGACATAGTTTTAGGCCAAACGAAGTATTACACAATAAAATGTTACTTAAAAGACTCCTTCTAAAAATAAAAACTACAAGCTGCAGCACTTTTTCGAGTCGTTTAAAAGATTATTAAGATTTAAAAACGCTAATAGCTGTTTTTTGCATCACCCTGTATGTTCTGTTCAGTTCAGCATAGTACATAGTGCGGTAAAGTACAGTACAGTAAAGTCCGTTACAGTACAGTACAGTAAAGTACAGTGCAGTACAGTACAGTACTCACCAAATAGATTGTCAACCTATTTGGTAATTACACTAAGGATGCTTTGGAAAAAAATTTAGCACATAATATAAACCTTATCTATCATGGGCATTATTCATAGAGAATAGAATATATATTAGAGAGGAATTTAAAGAATCTCTCGGTATGAATTTTTTCAGTCCCTTTCAGCCTGAAAGGAAGTTCAAAGTTTACAAATCATGTAAATGTTCACAAATTATGTGCAGTAGGAGTACATTAATACAGTATGTTCCCTAGACTATTCATTTCAATTTCGAAATTTTTAAAGCTGTTAAATAAACTTTATAATGAATTAGGTGAATAAAAACCATCATTTGATTTATAGTTATAACGGAAAATCATCGTTTGTAAAGTGAAAGGCATAGCTAGTTGTGAAATGATCATTGGTCAACTATGAAACCAGCCTATTTCATAATTTGGTTTTCTTTTAACAATAATTTTAGATTTTCTATAAAATGATATTCCAGGGCCCAAAAGGTTATATAGCATAAATATGTGAAGTACACCTGCAGTATGGAGACAGTACAACAAAATGGCCGTTTTACACTTTTTTTTAGTAAATTCCCCTCTAATATATATTCTATTCTCTATGGCATTATTCAATAACAGAATACGGGGTGGGACGCACACTAATACTGTTTCAGTTGTCCCTTAATATGCTTATATTGCACGTTTTGTCCCAAAGCTTAACAATATTATATTGTCCCAGAAAGTTTAACAATATTTGGTCCCTTGGCCATAGCTTAACAATATTATATTGTCCCAGAAAGTTTAACAATATTTGGTCCCTTGGCCATAGCTTAACAATATTATATTGTCCCAGAAAGTTTAACAATAATTGGTCCCTTGGCCATAGCTTGACAATATTAGTTTGTGTTTAATAATCTATGCAAGAAAGTCACCGGAAAAAAAGTTTCTGGATGATAAAACCTGGAAATAAAAACTTTGGTAAGAAAGTCCCAATTTTTTAAAGTCCTAGGACATAAAGTCACTGGAAATAAAGTCCTGAATTTTCAATTCCTGGGAATTTTCCTAAAATAGTATATAGGCTGCCAATAAAGGTTCAGGAAATAAGATCACAGGAAAGGAAGTCCTGAAGAAAGTATATCATAAGAAAAAAAAACAAGAAAAAAACGTCCTAAGTAAAAATGAAGGCAAGTCTGAGACGTTTTCATAAAATTTTTTTTTTTTCTTTGCATCTGCTTTTTAAATAAAGCCAGAAGTGTTTTTGATATCGATTTTTCCCCCCTGGTTATAAACATCCTTTGTTCCCATGCATTTTCTACTAAAATAGGATTTTTTGCCGGGAACGTTTTTGAATAAAATAATTATGGAACCAGAAAAAAAGTAATAAAAAAATCTCAAAGTGGTAGGACTTTATTTCCAGAGACAATTATTTTAAGAACTTTCCACAGGAATTTTTAGTACAGAAATTTTAGGACTTTATTTCCGAAAACTTTTTTGGTGGTTACCGTGTCAGCATTTTATGTTATTTTATCCAAAAAATTGAAGATATTTATTTATGTTAAGACTTGCGATTACCAGTTTTTCCGAAACTCGTTAGTTTCATAGTTTCATAGTTTGTTTAAACTTACTGATATTAATCTGTCCCAAAAACTGACATAATCAACTATGATAAAGAAAACGCCTAGTTTTATTCTTAATGTCAAAACACAAAAATCATTTCGAAATAATGAATATTTAGTTCGAAAAATTAACAAATAGTAGGGCCATTGTCTCACAAATAAATTTTATATCCGAAACTTTCTGTTCATAATTTTAAAATACTTTCTTTTAGTACTTGGCTTTTAGGGAGCCATCTTTTATTTCAATTGTGAACATTCTCTTTGTGTACATTGTAAAACAAAAATTCGCGGACTTCATAAAAATATTTCGTGGATTTTCAAATCTTTAAAGATTTTATTGAAAATCGAATTTCGTTGGAGGCAAATTTTTGAAATGAATTGTACATTCATATACCTTCCCTGGGGTCACGTGAGGTTCCACAAAATTAGGGCCCGATCGATTCAGCCGTTTTGACGTTTATTGGATACAAACATACTGTGAGACAAACAGAAAAGCAAAGTATGTATATAGATAAAATGTGAAGAATACCTCGATCAGCTAAAGGGACTATTTAAGCGTAATTTCAAACAACCCTTCAAGCAAACAATAAGATGACAGTGCTACCCTTAAACCCTGATCAAGTATAAATTAGATATCAATGTTTTTGTCTATTTAAAAATTTATCTTCTTTTGTGGCATCTCTACATTTCTTGCTTATAAAAAGAAATGAATGAATCAAACACTTGTCAAGTCAGAAAAACGACGATATCTTCCACATTTTTAATCAGATTAAAGTTGCAAGGGTACCATTACCATATTTGCATGAAGGGTCACTTGAAATTACGATTACAGTCCCTTTAAAGCTATGTACTTCTCATAGAATAACATTGATCCACGAGTTTTCCTAATTCCTGTGTTATAAAAATTTAGAATTTAGCCTGTAATGTCGAATTTTATGATATATTACATAGAGTGTTTTATGTTTAAGGTATTTAAAAACAAGGGTTGTACTTCAATATTTACATTCATTTCTATATGCTTCTCAAATTGTATAATTTATAAGATGGGTCTTTAGTATTATCTTTTGCTTTTTAAAAGTGTGTATCAAATACTGTTTTTCAAAATGTTTTTTTTTATGTTGCTGTTTTTTACTGCAAAATTTTTATTTGTTTTTTGCTTTTGGTTAAATCAACCAAGAATAATTGGTTGCATTGAAAGCAATAATAGCTAAGTTTATGTGTGTTTGTTTTTACCAATTGCACTTTGTTTAAAGGAAACAACACAATACTACGACTTATATAAGTTAGATAAAAGAAACCGTCGATAGACCCGTTTCTAGCTTTTTACACCCTTTCTTCCCTTATCCAAATACATTATACATCCTCCTCTCATCCATATACACCCTCCTCTCATCCATATACACCCTCCTCACATCCATATACACCCTCCTCTCATCCATATATATCCTCCTCTCATCCATATTCATTATAAATCCTCCTCTCATCCATATACACTCTCCTATCATCCATATACACTCTTCTCTCATCCATATACATCCTCCTCTTCTCCATATACATCCTCCTCTCATCCATATACACCCTCCTCTCATCCATATACACCCTCCTCTCATCCATATACACCCTCCTCTCATCCATTTTCTCCTCTTTCAACTAGATTATGCATTCTCCTCATTTTCACTTTTTCTTTCTTAATTTTTTTTCTCACTTTTTCACTTTTTTCACTTTTTTCACTTTTTTCCTTTTTTCCCTTTTTTCTCTTTTTACACTTTTTTTTCACTTTTTTCACTGTTCACTTTACACTTTTCACTTTTTTTTGTCCTTATTATTTTTTTCTTCACAATTATAGAATTTCCGGGGGGAATAACAAAGTTTAAAAAGTGAAAGATAAAGAGGGGGTGCGCCGTATAGCAGAAATATATGTTTGACCTAAAGTCGGAACGTTTGTGGAGAATACCTTGATATTGATATCCACTTTGGGCTCAATTAAAGTTATATCTGTGACCGTAGCCCGTAGTTCTGTACAAGAAAGTGATCTTATTCGTTCCGCAATTGTTTCACTTTTTGTTTCTTTTTTTTTCATTTTTTCATTATCTTTTTCATGCTCCTTAGAACCAATTCCCCCTCCCTCTTCTCCACCCTTTTAGGGAAAAGTAGGGGCACGTTCCCCTATGCCCCCCCCTTCCCAGCTACACCCTTCCATTGTCCAAATATTCAAAAACCTAAGATATTTTGGACTAGCACCTCCTTCATCCAATCAGAGTTAGATTAGTTTCTTAATAAACGTTGTTGTTAATAAATCAAGTCCTGATTGGTTCAACATAATTACTAGAGTTTACTTCAGACTCTTCCAATGCTCTAAACTTCAGTCAAGGCTTGAGGTTTGTTAGAAACATGTTTGCAGCAATCTCACTCTTAGCAATAACCTTTGCAGTAGTTTCTGCAGCAGGTTCTGCAGATCAATGCTGCTTACAAAGGGTAAAGGTTACAGTATTTGCATCAAACTCCTTTATCTTTTCAACCTGATGCTGCAAGCTTTTGATATTTCAAACTTTAATTCTTTCATAGGTTAAAACATCAAAGGTCTGCAACAGAGGGTTGCAAAGATATTGGGAATAGAGAAACATTGCTAGCTGCAAAGACTCAATTGTTTTCATTTCAACCTATTCTCCTGCCATCTGAACTTTGAATTAAATACAATTTGCAAACATGATTTGAAAGAAAAGAAGGAATTCAGTCATTCATAATAGACTGTAGCTGGGGCACCCAGATTTGTTCTATGACAATCTACTCAATTTGAGGCTTTTAAATTTAGTTTAACATATTTCCGGGGTTATACCAAGTTCCAATATCAGAATTTGTAGCCAGTTAATCATTAGTCAAGGGGTTCAAAAATTATGGTTGAAAATTCAGATTGAGATTAGATTTTTTTTAAGACAACCTGTATATAAAGTAGTAATTTATGTTTGTTCCAGTATCTGCTTCCTTAAAACGAATCCGAAACTTAATGGGTGAAGCGATTAATTGCTTTCCCTCATGGATTATAACATTGCACAGAATTGCGTTAAAATTGCGTATGGAAAAGCCATGCAATTTTACAGAATTGCAGACAATGGTGCATAAGTTATCACATTTAGTTTCTATTTTGAACCATACAAGGATAATTATTTGATCATTTCTAATATATATTTAAATATGCAAAAATAACCAGACAATTTTGGAATAAAAAAACAACAATCAAGTAATATTTAAGCTTTCACTAGTACCTTAAAATCCCTCATTAAATGAAATGGATCGGTGTGGACTGACTACTTGAGTCTAAGTCATCCTCCTCCTATAATACAGTTTTCTGGTTCTTACTCAATTTATTGCATATATGTTTTACCTTATAGCAGAGTTTTTACACATCACGCATTAGCTTTCTTTTTATCAAATATTAATATCTGATGTTGAGTATTGTATATTTGTTGTTAAGCATTAAATATTTGTTGTTAAGTATTGAATATTTGATGTTAAGTATTGTATATTTGTTGTTAAGCATTAAATATTTGTTGTTAAGTATTGAATATTTAATGTTAATTATTGCATATTTGTTGTTAAGTATTGAATATTTGATGTTAATTATTGTATATTTGTTGTTAAGCATTAAATATTTGTTGTTAAGTATTGAATATTATATTTGTTGTTAAGCATTAAATATTTGTTGTTAAGTATTGAATATTTAATGTTAATTATTGCATATTTGTTGTTAAGTATTGAATATTTAATGTTAATTATTGCATATTTGTTGTTAAGTATTGAATATTTGTTGTTAAGAATGGCATATTTGTAAATATTTGTTGAATATTTATCATATCTTTATATTTATCATCTATGAATATTTATCATCTATGAATATTTATCATATATTAATATTTATCATCTATGACTATTTATCATCTAAGAATAAATAAAATAAATAAATAAATAGCTTATTAGGCACATATATACATATACTAAAAACACATTGATGAATTCTATGATTATACAGTGCCGGGAAACCCGGAGAGCTCAATATCTGGCTGTCTGGTCCAGGTCCCTGAAAACTTTAGATTTATCATCTATGAATATTTATCATCTAAGAATACTCATTATCTTTAAATATTTATCATCTAAGAATATTTATCATATAAGAATATTTATCATCTTTAAATATTTATCATCTAAGAATATTTATCATCTATGAACATTTATCATCTATAAATATTTATCATCTATAAATATCTTTCATCTATGAATATTTATTATCTATGAATATTTATCCTCTATGATTATTCATCATCTGTCAATATTCATCATCTTTGAATATTTATCATTAATGAATATTTATCATCTAGGAATAATCTAAGAATATTCATCAACTATAAAAAATGTTTATATATGAATATTTATCATATTTAAATATGTATCATCTATGACTATTTATCATTCTAAGAATATTCATCACTTATTAATATGTATCATTTATTAATATCCATCACCTATGACTATTTATCATCTAAGAATATTTATCATCTCTGAATATTTATCATCTATAAATATTTATCATAAATAAATATTTATCATCTATGAATATTTATCATCATATGAATATTTATCATCATATGAATATTTATCATCTGTAAATATTTATTATCTATGAATATTTATCATCTATGAATATTATTTTAGAGAGTAAACAGTGTAGATGAAAGGGGAGGAGTATATTCTCTTGATGTCAATCTCACCTTGATCGCAGATATAAGTTCATCTCCTGTCTGTTCTACAAATTGTATTTATACCAAGGTTGGAAAATCAGGTAAATTATAATAATAATAGTTTGGCGATTTGGATTTCTTCTTATTAAAAATTTCTTTTACAATTTTTTAAAAGCTGCCAATTTTTACAGAAAACTCCGCAACAATCTTAGCTTTACAATTACAAAGAAAAATATGGCCCTTAAGTTGAGCAAGCTATTGCTATAAGTTGGTTTCAATGATTGCTATATCGTTTTCAATGATATAGATACAATGCAATATATCTTTATATTAATTATTCACTATTTTTGTTAGCTTGAACTAGTTTTAACCCTATTCCTGCTGGGGGGGGGGGTCAATTTGACCCCCCCTGTAGTTTTTTTTACATAACTCAAAAAGTATTGGTCTGAGGCTGTTGAAATTTTCTGACTTTTCTTACATACTCATAGCCCTCCCTTTAGGCCTAAAACAGGGCTTTAATACTAACTGCCTGAGTCCTCAGGCACACTGCCTGAATGACTGCTTTTTCCTGTAACAAACTAAATCTTTGTTTTGACCCACTTTCACTTTTCAGATTTTGATAAAATTTAGCTTTTTGGAAAGCCTTTGACAAAAGGAAACAAATTGCACAAGTTTTGCGAAAGAAAAATTTCAAATTTTTTGCAAACAACCTGTCAAAGGAAATTTGCACATTTTTAGTTTTTCTTGATTAAAAATCAGGTTATTTAAAATTTGGCAAAAATTTTTGCATATTTGAAATGGCATGGTCAAAGGCTTTTCAAAAATGTATAGTTTTTCATTTTTTTGACGAATTTTTTTTTGCAAACTTTTTACTATATAACTGGATTTTGCGATAAAAAATTCAATTTTTGCAAATTTGCAAATTTTTTTGCAGATTCTAAAAGAAGAGAACAAGAGCTTTCTAATGATGTATCATTTGTCATATTTGGACATCAAACATGGGATTTAGAGGAGGGGGGGTCAAATTGACCCCCCCCAGCGTATCCTGGTTTTCAAGTACCCCAGCAGAGATAGGGTTAAACTGAATGGGACTTCATAAACGCATTTTAAAATTATCCTTTAATTATTCCAATTCCAACGTTACTCTAAACAGCTTTGTTTGATAAAAATTTGTTCAGATATCCATGTCTTTAACTTTGAAAATTGATCATTTAAACTGTAGTTTCTCTAAAAAACTGACTAAAATCAGACTGAAAGAAATTGTGTGAATTAAAGGGACTGTAAGCGTGATTTCAAGTGGCCCTTAATTCAAAGATGACATGGCCGAATTCACAAGGGTAAAATTTAAAGCTTAGTCTGATCAAGTATTGAATTAAATATCAATGGTTATAATTACGAAAACTGATTATTTTCTAAGGTGTTTTTTTTGCGAAAGTAACTTGCGCATTTTTGCTGCAGGAAAACACCCATGGAAACAATATCTGAACCACATTATTGATCAGATAAAGGTTTCAAGGGTACCATTATGAATAGGTCATTGCAATAGTTGCATAAAGGATCACTTGAAATTACGTTTCTACAATCCCTCTTTTCAAGCTAAAAATACACGGGGATATCTTTGACATTAGTGTTCAGATAAACGTTTAAAAAGTGCAATTGTGAATCTTGTATAACTCTATACTCTCATAGAGGGGTCACCCGAAATTACAACTACTTTACCTTTAAAAAACAAAAAGAGTTCTGATGTTTAAAATCATCAAGTAAATTTTATACTAATTTTCAGGCCAAATCTTTTGCTTTGGACACGGGAGTCTCACATCGGAATGCAGTATAACACCTGTAAGTTTAAATGAAACTGGTTAGATATTTAAAAAATCTGATAAATTCAAAATATTAAGAATGAATAAAACTGATTTTTATAACGACTAAAAAGTATTAGAGTTTTTGCCACACACTCTGATTTTCTGATCCCTTTATCTGAGCATCCCAATGTTGTAGAACTTAGATATTTCTGTATTATCAAATATTCTAAGTTTGAAATGTCAAAGGATTTCTCAATCGGGTTGCAAAGATATATGTATTAGAATATTTAATTTTGAGGTAAAATTCTTAAAGTTGATTTTCTTCATTTAACAGATAAGCAAGATAAAACTCAATATTTTGCTTAATTTTATGATAATCACTTAAATGACAGAAAATAATTATAAGTTTTATTTTATTTTGATTTACAATATTAGGAAATAATAATAATAAAAAAGGAAATATACTCCCGGTACAACATGCATTTAGCCATACTGTTCAGTCTGTATTACCCAATGTAGAGTCGAACCAGCACGTTTTATAAACAAATTTTAAAATAATGAAAATTGTTCTAGGCAGGCCCAAAAAGACCCGATTTTACAACAATTATGATTGGAGGATCTGTAGGCAGTAAGTTATTATTTAGTATTTTCTGATGGGTATCCGATTTTTGTTTTTATATTTATCAAAACATCGTGTTGCCAAAATGTTGATTTTCTTTCAAATTTTCCAAAAAGTGAATTATTTATAATTCTAATAGGATGCATCAATTTTTGGAATTTTGCAAAGATGAAATATATTATTCAGTGCAAAAGTGAAGATGTCCGATTGAAAAATATACTTCACAAAGGACCTCACTAGTCTCCTGGAGTTTGTAATAAATTTTTTAATAATAGAGATAAATGGTTCTAACTTTGCACCTATTAAAAAGTGTCAAAAATGGAAATACCCTAAATACCTTATAATTTGGGAAATAACTCCAAATACCTGGGAATCTGCTGGGAAATTCCCAAAATTTCTTGGAGAATCTACAGGTGGTTTATTTCCATTTATAGGAAATTCCCCAATTATCCAGTCATTCTGGAAAATTTTCTAATTTAAAAAAAATACCAACTTCAACTTCTTGAAGGAATTTGGGAAATCTAACTCCTCAAATTTCTCAAATTTAACACACTCAAATTCCTGTAGGAATTTAAGAAAAACGTGGAATTTCCCAAAAACCTGGGAATCTGGGTAATTCCCCAAATTTCCCAAATTTAACACACTGAAATTTCTGTGGGGATTTCAGAAAAAAACGTGGAATTTCCCAAATACCTGGGAATCTGGGGAATTCCCCAAGTTCCTATTTTCTACAAAAGTATAAATGCAAATTTGATATTTTAACCCTATTCCTGCTGTGGGGGGGGGTGTCAATTTGACCCCCCCTGTAGTTTTTTTTACATAACTCAAAAAGCATTGGTCTGAGGCTGTTGAAATTTTCTGACTTTTACTACATACCCAAAGCCCTCCCTTTAGGCCTAAAACCGGGCTTTACTGCCTGAGTCCTCAGGCACACTGTCTGAAAGACTGCTTTTTCCTGTAACAAACTAAATCTTTGTTTTGACCCACTTCCACTTGTCAGATTTTGATAAAATTTAGTTTTTTGGAAAGCCTTTGAAATATGGAATTGTATTGCACAAGTTTGCGAAAAAAATTGCAATTTTTTTTGCAAACAACCTGTCAAAGGAAATTTGCACATTTTTAGTTTTTCTTAATTAAAAATCAGGTTATTTTTGCATATTTGAAATGGCATGGTCAAGGGCTTTTCAAAAATGTATAACTTATAATTTTTTGGACAAATTTTTTTTGCAAACATTTTTACTATATAACTGGATTTTTCAGTTTTTGCAAATTTGCAATTTTTTTTCAGATTCTAAAAGCAGATCACAAGAGCTTTCCAATGATGTATCATTTGTGCTGGGGGGGGGGGGGGCAAATTGACCCCCCCCCCCAGCATATCCTGGTTTTCAAGTACAACAGCAGAGATAGGGTTAATATTAATGTATAAAATTTGTATGATCCTGCAGAATTAAATTTCTCAAATTTTGAAACAAGCATTATGACAATCATTGGTATCATGGTTCCTTTATGTACATCTTCCCCACCTATGATAGCCCCTGTATACAAAGAAAAAAAGGTAATTAACAGCTTTTTAATTGTGATTTTGTCCAATTTTATTATTTTAGAAACTATTGGATATCCCTGCAACACATCAATTAAGGATTTTCCAGAACGAATCTCTGGTCTAAGTAAGTATACTTGAATTTAAAGTGAGAAACTGGCTAGGTAACGTTTAGTTGAACTGAGGCTGTGAAGTATTATATCGAGAGATATTTTTAGGGTTTATTCCATACAATTGAAACATTTTTACTATGTATAATTTCTAAATAAGAGCCTACAGTCATTTGTAGATTTTACCAGATGTCATCAGAAGAAACATGTTTTACAATTATTTAATGACCCGGATAAAACATGTAATACAAAATATTCTAATGACCTATTTTTATAAAGAAAATATCGATGAAAGCCAAAGTAGATCTGTAAAATCGATTATTTCATTATCATCTTATTCATTTGCAAAATTATGACACTTTTATCACATTATTGGGTTCCAAAGAATCCCTCGCTACGCTATGTGCTGCTTTTTGACCCAACAAAGTCACTGTATGTATAAAATGCCATTTTTTTACTACAAAATGTGCACCCTTCAGAAGGTGGGTGGTGAGGTTAGTAAAGGTAGGAGAGTGTTATGAAACAAGCTTAAAAACAAGCTTAAAACAATTGATTTAATGTGATGTGAATCGATACCCATACTGTATACCATGCGCAAAGAATAATCAAAGAGTGGGGATGGGGTCTCTTTAAAAACTGAAGGTAGTTGGGGTAGTGAGGGTAGTTTCTATATAGATTCAGATTCAAGGGTGGGGATGGGGTCTCTCTTAAAACAGACGGTAGTTAAGATAGTAAGGGTAGTTGCCATTCAGCTTCAAGGGTGGGGGTAGGGTCTATCTAAAAACAGACGGTGCTCTGGATAATAAAAAAAATGCATCAAAAACTACAGTGAATAAAATGTTCACTGTTTATAATGAAAAAAAAAATGATTTCTGATAATCTGTTTTTTTAGTAATAAGTGCTTTGTGGAAAGGAATTCATCGTGGATACCGACTTCAAGCATGATAATGCCGAGGTCATATCATACGATGTCTGCCTTCAAAGACAGTGTAGTTATTACCGGAGGATCTCCTGAGTAAGTTAATTTTTAATGTAAAATATGTTGATCAATAATAAGACACTATATATCTGTGAGCATCTTTTCTTTGTACAATATAAAAAAAATGAAAAAGTACACGGATTTAATAATATTTTTTCGTGCATTTTCAAAACTTAACAAAAATCAAAACTTTTGGACACCGTTTTTTATTTTGAGCATCCATAAACCTTTCTTGGGGTTATGCACGAGGTCATACACAAAACTTGGGCCCGCTGGATTCAGCCGTTTTGACGTTTATTGGAAACAAACGGAATTGTAAAAAAATTGTGATATTAATTCATGAAATTAAAATTTAAGCAACATTTTAGACTTAATAAACAGAGATGTGAAGAATTTCGTTCAGAATTCGACCTTTTGATTTTAGTTAATTAATTAAAAGCCGAACAAAGTTCTGAATATCTCCTGTAATATTGAAAGCACAAAAAAAAGTTAATCACAGGCAGGTGGACAAATGAATGTCATATATCATTTCTAAGATTAAAGACGTTATTCAAGCTCTTTCATTTCACTGTCATGGCTCATGGGACACCGGCTGTATCTTTTAATGATAAATATTGTCATTCATAATTAGCAAAGGATTATTTAATCATTGATTAATTAATTGATTAATTAATAGTAGATTATAGATTACACTGAGGCTGAATTTAAAGAATTTAAACCTATTCGCCAAACTCTAAAAACCCACTCCAAGCCAGTGCCAGCTCAAATCTCGAAGCACTAAATACAATTTACCCACCATCCATGTTTGAGCCGCCTCTCAAATATAAAAAGGCTCAAAATCTTTAAATTCATTATTCAGCCTCGTGCAGTTCATAATTTAGTGGAGTGGCTCCCCCAAACAATGAAATCGAGATTTTTAATGGTACCACCTGGACAAAGCTGAACAAAACCTTAACTTCACCTAGAATACACCATTGTGCAGTTGTTATCAGGTAAATTAACAATTTAAATCATTTTGTCATACACTAATGGCTACTGCAAAGTGTTGTCAAATTGTCTACCCTTTCTCAATTGGTCATGTGATGTTAACCTTTCATGCCTTATTCACAACTTCACTTGTTAGCTCTTGCTTCACTTCTTTTTTCAAAATAGGTTTTATGAAGAGAAAGCTCAGTATTATTTTAAGCGGGGCATGCTCTGATGCGTACCAAAAGTGACCCTCTTAAGCTAAGTCTCCAGTACGCCCTGAGTTGTCTTGCATAAATCTATAAGCTAATTTTACAGAGAACTGTAGTATAATTATAGATAAAAATAGGATTCATCTCTGACTAAAATCTTGACTATACGTTGAGTATGAGGAAAAACTTACAAAGAATATCTAAATATTGATGCAATATGGTCCAAATTTATCTTATGATTTATAGCACTGTATTGTAGAAATTCTTCTATAGTTAGTTTAAAATTTTTTTTTTTATCTTTCTGAATTCTGAATTCTCAAGGCTTAAGACAATTTTAAACATTTAATGTAAAAAAGTTCCAAACTGTATTCAAACTTGGAATTATTTTGGTAAAATATTCTAAGTTTGAAATATCAAAGGTTTACACCACTCGGTGCAAAGATTAGGGATTAGAATATTTGAGTTTGTGGCAAAAACTCAGTTCCAAATCTAGAAAACATTCTGAGACTGAACCTGGCAAACTTCTAACTGATTATCAAATTTAATAACTGTAACCTGTTTATCTTCTTTGAAAGAACTTCTATAAAATCGAAAATGAAATAAGATCATGAATGTTCATTAGAATGATCAATCAAAATTCAATAGCTTCAGGAGAAAACGTAACATTATCTGTCCTTTTTCAATGTAGATGATTAAAATGATATATATATTTTGATGTTTTTTTTTTCTGAAATTTTAAAAGGTACTTAACAAATCTTCTTTAGCGCTCCGTGCACACATGAAAAGAATTGATTAACTCATATCGTTAATTTTACAGTTGTTGAAAGTATAGAATTTTAAAAAACATAAGAAAAAAAACGTTTTGAACTGAACACAGCCAAATTCTGCATGCAACAACTGAAAATTTCCTTTTTTTCGACATTAAACCCTTAAAAAAAACACTTTTATATTGAAACAAATTCTAAAGGGGGGGCAAGCCCCCGCCCCAGACCATTACAAAATAATATTTTGCCCCCTCCCCCAACTAAAAGTGCTAGTTGCGCCTCGGAAAATGTACAGAGGCAGAATTTAAAGAATTTGAGAGGCAACTCAATGGTTCCACTTCAAATTGTATTTAATTTTACAAGATTTAAGCCTGCACTAAATTAAACCCGGTTTTTGGTAGATTTGAGACGCGGCTCAAATTAATTAAATTCGGACTCTGGCTAAAGAGACAACACTCCTTTTAATTGCTGTTTGATAAAAAAATTGCAGATTTATTGTTCGAAATTTAATGCAACTTGGCTTTTAGGGCGCTTCGCGCCCATCTTCTTTTTCAATTGTCAACATGTTCTCTTTCTGTACATTTTAAAAAAACGCAGATTTCATAAAAAAAATTCGAGGATTTTTAAAATTTTAATTTTTTTCTCCAAAAAAAAAAGTTTTAAACATTTTTTTCTAAATTTTGATCATTCATAGCCCCTAGGGTCTTGCGAGGTGCCACAAAAAATTGGGCCTATCGATTTAGCCGTTTCGACGTTTATTTGATTTAAACGGACAGACGAACATCCAGACAAGCAAAGTATTTAATGTGAAGAGTAATTTAATATAAAATATAAACTTTACTGAAAACCAAAATTGTGATTTGTGCACGCTCTTTCGCATTTGACGAGCAGCATTTTTGTAAATTACTCCTTTAAAACTTAAGCTAGATACCAGCGAGATGCATTTTTAAAATGTATATGACTGGGGCAACAAAAAAAGTATTTCTTAACTTTATTAATTTATTTATTTTTAATTTTTTTTATGAAACAAATTATGTGATACATGTATTTAATGCAGAATGCAGATAATCCTGGTATTCCAGTTGTTTTTGATATCGGCCATCTATGCAGGTTTATTGCTGACATTGTTGTATAATGAGAACTTCCCTTTGTCAGCTGCATAGGATGTATCAGTGTCTTGCAGTAATTTAGAAAGAAATTAAAAGACCTCCTAGCCTTAACTGCATTCGGATAGGTTCAAGGTGATTTAGATGTACCCCCTAGGAAAGGAACACCCAATGAAACCAATGATGATCTCTCTCAGAAAGTTTTGATTAAGATTCCACAGCAAAGCAGTTTCTGAGTTCCACTATATCTGCTCGTGAAGTAGGATAAGGTTGGAATTTAGGAGGTAGGCGTATGAGGATGGGGGTGTAAGGGTAACAGGTATGAGAATTACCATAGTCCTCACTTTTAACGTGTATTCCCACGTGGACAGACTTTTTAAAGAAAAAATAACCCGCTAAGCATGCTGTCCCATCGCTTTAAAATATGGGGAGTGTGTCTTTTGCCTATCATTGTCAGAGGTCTGCCATGAGTAATCCAGTTTCCATTGTGAGGAGGGTGAAAAACCAGTTTATGGTATTTGATTTAAAGTCTATTGAAGGCTCTGTTCCTCCTTAAAACCTGTATCAGCGTGTACTTCATCCCTGATGTTTTGAGTTTCTGTACTCCTTCTGTATTCATCTTTATTACTGTATCTTGTTCGGTATTAGTCACGCTTTCCGCTCAGTTGTGGAGAGAAGTGTCCTTGCTATCTAGACTTCTATACAAGTACAACACACATATAGCGCCCTTTTTCACAACAGGCTTAGAAAGCTCTGCTGACACCCTTCCTCTGGGAGGTTCGGATACACACTGACAATAAAGTATAAGTAATTTGGTGAGGTGAAACCAAATATTAAAGGCTTTATAAAGTCAAGGCTGTCCAAAAATTTTATATCTTACGTGACTTTGTATTTCAGTGAAACTGAATTTTATGTGCTGGGTGGACAGTCAGACAAAATTACAACATTATCAATTATGGAAAAATACAATATTGATGGAAATCTAGTTGCCGGCAATCTTGCCAATATGACTATTGCAAGGTAAAAGAAACAATGCATTTAATTCATTCATGTATAATGTAAATTTTAATGTGATTAAGTTTTTGCCACAAACTCAAATTTTCTGATCCCTCCATCTTTGCAACCTGACGATGTAAACTTTTGATATTTCAAACTTATGAGATCATCTATCCATTGAGATTAGGCTTTTTTCGCATTTTATCGCTGTGGTGTAATAGATTTGCTTGTGAAAACTTGCTAATAAGAAATGGCCGAATTTTATAACTTAAATATTTTATTAAAAATTAATAATATTTACAATTGTAAATAAAGGAGCTGGTTATTATATCATCTTTATATTTGCAACTAATGTCAACCACAGAATTCATACAGAATTCATGCTATCAAGTTTTAAATATCAAAAGTACTATATGGGTGTGCAAAAAATAGGGTTAAGAAAATTAGAGTTTGACCAAAGCTTTCAGTTCTTTTAAGTAAAACTATAAAGACGTACTAAAGTTCAAGACTATGTAAAAACATTTTAAAAATCTGTTTTGCACCTCAAAGGGACTGTAAGCGTAATTTTATGTGACCCTAGCTCCTTTAAAAGATGGCAATCGCTTAAATTCCTGTAAAACCCCGTGTACGATGCGTACACTGTAAACTTAACACAGCTGATCCATTACTTGTGTCCATTAGTTTTGAAAATTGGAAAGACAATATTTATTTTCTACCACTTCTAGAAAGTGAATTTTAATATTCTTCGCTATATATATATTTGCTTGTTTGGGTGTTTGTATCCAATAAACGTCAAAGTTGCTGACCCGATCCAGCCAAACTTTTTGTGGGACCTCGTATGATCCCATGGTAGGCTGGATGAACGGACATTTAAAAAATTTGCCTCCAACAAAATTCGATTTTTAAAAATTTAGAAAATTCACGATTTTTTTTTAAATCCGCGAAATTTGTTTATTTTTAATTTACAATGCATACAAAGAGAACATATGTTCACAATTGAAATAGAAGATGGATGCAAAGCGCCCTAAAGGCCTAGTATTATATATATACTTTGCTTGTCTGTCTGTTTGTCTGTCCGTTTGTATCCCACAAAAGTCAAAACGGTGAAACCGATCTGGCCAAAATTTTGCGTGGGACCTCACACGACCCCAGAGAAGGTTTGTGAATGCTTAAAATTACAAAAAGTCGCTTCCAAAAATTTTGATTTTCGTAGAATCTTGAAAAATCATGAAAAAAAATATAATTATTTCATCGAAGAGAAAGTCTTCAACAACTACAAGCGTTTCTGTAGAATAATAAGATAGTTCCGACAACCTTGCTCAGTCAAGGGTTTAGAGGGTACCGTTGTGAATCGAAAACGCCACTCTACAAAGGGAGGGTCTCTTGAAATTACGGTTGCAGTCCCTTTAGGGTCCTAGTTTTTATAGAGGAGAGGTAGCAGTTCCCTTTTATTTAATAGATCTAAATTTGGATGTGCACTTCTGGATGGAAAAATATATGCTGCAGGAGGAGGATCTGATGGCACTTCTATGACCACTATGGAGGTCTACGACCCATTGAAAGACACGTGGACCCGTGTAGCAGGTCAACTTGGTATATTTGGCACACTGTCTAATCATTTAGTAATGCTAAATGGAAAGCTGGTCAGTTATGGGCAAAGCGTATTCAGCTACGATGCAGAAGGCGAAAATTGGACCCAGATTGAAGAGGCTAATAAAGGGGGTAATGCTTACTTTGCTCTTGTTGTGGTTCCTTGCAGTGAGGACTAGTTGTATGGATCAAAAGGCCCAAAAGATGAGAATAATGGAATATATGTTTACAATGTGATCTAGATTTAAGATTGAATTATTTTACAGTTTGAACACCACCATGCACCAAGTACTTTTGTAATAATATATATTTGAATAAATTAATGCATTTAGATAATTTTTTAAACTCTAGAGGTTGAAACTTTTAAATGTGATAGCTTCAAAGCACCATGGAAACTTTTGAATTTGAGAGCTTAGAGGAATAAATATCTTTTAAAATTTGTAAGTGTTCGGTCTAATATTATTTTTTATCACATTCCATGTTTATTAAAAACCTGATATTTGGCCTGTGTGCCATAGCAACATATATATTAACCCCATTTGGCCGGGGAGCGGGTCGGGGTTGGGAGGGTCAATTTTACCCCCACTATCGTTAATTTGCAATAACTCAAAAAATATATTAGCTAGGAAGCTCAAATTTTCTTGCTTTTCTAACTAAACCATGCCCCTCACGTAAGGTTAAAAGCTGGGCTTTTATAACTACTGCCTGAGTCCTCAGGCGTACTGCCTAAATGTCTTTTTTTTAATCTTCGTGACAGAAACAATCTCAAGAACTGACGAGGGTCAATCCAGACCGAAATATATTTTCAATAAATGTGGAACTAACATTTACTTTTTTTTACTCTACATACAGAGGTTTGGTCCATCACCATCACCGAATTTTAAATGTCTTATTTTACCTATACCAGCCATATTTAGACCTACTTCATTGGATTTCAACATTTTATAGCTCTTTGGAAAGCTTATTACAAAAGCAAGCAGATTGCACATTTTTGCATTGAAATTTTGCATAGATTTTGCACATTTTAAGTCTTTCTTGAATACACATTTAGGTTTTAAAAATTTTGCAAATGGTTTTGCACATTAGTATTGACTGGGTTAAGGGCTTTTTAAAAATGTAATATTTTCGGCAATTTGCGCAATTTTGTTTGGACATTTTTGGTTTAATAACTAGATTTTGCAATAAATATTTGGATTTTTGCAAATTTGCCATTTTTTTGCAGATTATTGAAGTAGAGAGAAGGGCTTTCCGAAAACGTATCAAATGCTATAGGTTTGTATCGCAATAAGAAAATAGAGTGGGGGGGTCAATTTGACCCCCTCCCCCTGGCAGCGAGTCAGTAAACCAGGCTTCAGGCTAATAGGGTTAAAAATTTGTTTCCTAATAATTTTTTAGAATTAGAATTACATCTTTTTTTACATAATGTTCTTATATAACCTAAACATTTTGGCTTTTCGAAGACCAATTAGCCATTGAAAGTTGACTCTCCCTTTAAATATGAATATACTTCCATTCTATATTTAATCTTTAAGGCACCCCCCCCCTCTCACCATCCATAAAAGGTGTTGGTCCTCTCTGAGTTTAATTGAATTATCTTCTTTATTGCCAGTTTTTACAGACTACCAAGCCTTTCTTTAACACAAATTTCATTGTTAGGCATATTGTAATGGTTACCTACGGTTTATGCCATGGTATGTAAATATTTCTTTTCTGTTTATAATAACGTTTATCTTGCTATCTGTCTGTAAGTTTTACATTTATCTTTCAATTTGTCTGTACACATTCTTTTGTTCTGTCTGTACATTTATCTTTCAATCCGTCTGAACGATCATCTATCTATCAGTCTGTACATTTATCTTGCTATCTGACTGAACGATCATCTTTCTGTCTGTCTGTACATTTATCTTTAAATCTGTCTGAACTATCATCTTTCTGTCTGGCGGCCAGAATGTTTAGGTAATAAGAACATTATGTAAAAAGAATCAGATGTATCTAATTCAAAAGAAACTAATATTTGAACCTAGAGCTATGTTGCATATTTAATATATATATTGCTATGACACACAGGCCAAATATCAGGTTTTTTAATAAACATGGAAAATGATGAAAATAATATTAGACCGAACATTTTAAAGTTTTTAAATATTTATTCATCTAACCTCTCTAATTAAGAAGTTTCCATTGTGCTCTAGAGCGTTGACACATTTAAAAGTTTCAACCTCTAGAGTTTAAAAAATTATCTAAATGCATTAATTTATTCAAATATAGATTATTACAAAAGTGCTTGGTGCATGGTGGTGTTCAAAATGTAAAAGAATTAAATCTAGATCACATTGTAAAAATATATTCCATTATTCTCATCTTTTGGGCCTTCTGATCCATACAACTAGTCCTCACTGCAAGGAACCACAACAAGAGCAAAATAATCATTAGCCCCTTTATTAGCCTCTTCTATCTTGGTCCAATTTTCGCCATCGTAGCTTAATACTTGATGTCCAATAGCAGTTAAGTTTCCATTGAGGACAACTAAATGAAAACCCATCATGCCATTTTCAAATTTAGCCTTCATCAGGTTCCAAGTATTTAAGCTGGGGTCATAAATCTCGAAAGTGTTTGTAGTGTCACCCATTTGTTGTCCTCCCGCAGCGTAAATTTTCCCTTCCATTACTGCACATCCAAAGTCAAATCTATTTAAAACAAAAAAAGATTTATTAAAAGTTTATATTAGTTTTAAATCAAAATAATATTTAAAAATATAAAGGAATTAAGTCTTTGCCGCCACAAACTAAAATTTTCTATTCCATATATCTTTTCAACCTGAGGGTGTAGAACTTTGATATTTCAAACTTAGATAATTTGATCTATCAGAATTATCTAAGGTTTACAACATGACTCAATTTCTTTATGCATCAAGGCCATTGTTATTAAGGTTTTTCTTTAAAAAAAAAATTGCTTTGTAAATACAATTACAAGCAGGCACACAAAAAGGATGAAAGATATTTAATAACATGTAAAACAATCTTTAAAAAACACAATCAAAATTTTTCTGATAATTTTGTTCGTTATACAATCAATGTAGATAGACCACTCGGGCTAATTAAAGCACAAAAGGTTATAGCAAATAAGTTTAATAAATATTTCTTACCTAGGAGTAGTCATATTTTGAATTTTCCCATCTACAAGGTTCCCTTTATTATCATACTTCTCCATAATTGGCAATATGATATCTCCATTTTTCCCACCCAGGACATAGAACTCAGTATCACTGAAATACAGTGATTAATTACTATTTGTATTCAATTCATACTAGTTATTTACTCATACATCATGAATATGTTTACATGTAATCATATGGACAACTGTAGACTGTATTTTGTTATCCAGATGGACCAGGCCATTTTGCATGAATTTAACAAGTTTCACCCTAATCTATATGTATTCGTCCCCCACATTCATTGCATCAGATGGGGCTGATTATTTGGTAAACTATTATTTTGTTTTATTTTTTATACTAGCAGAGGATCTATTCACAAAAAATAAGAGTTTTGGTGAAATACAGGGTTACCTACAAAGGATTAGACTGTAAAGACGACCCAAAACTCTAAGAATATCACGATTTGAAGTTTGATTTTTGTTTTCTGCATTTAATTGAGTATTTTATTGTTTACTACAAAATTAAGAACAAATTAAGCCAGTTTGGGCCTAAAAAGAACCCTGAATGCAAGAAAACGGACTATACAAATTCCGTACAATTGTCTCATTCTTTGTGGGTAACCCTGTACTTGAATTAGCGACGACTCTTGGTGCTCGTATATTTAGATTTATACTTGAAACACCTGTAAAATGATATGAAAATTTGTCTACCTCCTTAAAGCTGCAGTAGTTCTGCACAAGTAAAGGAATTTGTGAAATTTAGAGCAACAAATAATGTCTTAATCTCAATTAAAATTAACTTTTTAATACAAATTATTCAGGTATCATTAAAATAATGTATCATGTTGAGATTTATCGAATCTTTTGTAGGGTGTAACAGCCAAATATTTTTTCGATAGGCACAGAGAGGGTTTAAGAGGCTTGGAGCTCATTCTGCTAATCAACAGGCCTTAAAGGTCATTTTGTGGGGCTCATTATGGCATGCCCCCCCCCCCCCCCCTCACCACAGTAGTCATGTGTGAACAACAAAATTATTTGATATTTAAATTACCTGATAACAACTGCACAATGATGATATCTAGGTGAAGTTAAGATTTTGTTTAGCTTTGTCCAGGTGGTACCATTAAAAATCTCCATTTCATCAGTGGCATAGGTTGGATTTCTATAATTTGTATCATCTTATTTGTTTAGTTTTTTCTTATAAATAAATTTTTTTCTTTACTTTGTAGGTTGACTCACATCAGTTCTTAGGCTTTTTATTTTCTTTATTTCATACCACTTTTTAACGGTCATAATGCTGCGGTTTGTACCATATATTTTGCTAATTTTAAAGGCCTATTTATGATATTATACATAAACTTGCTTCGTCATTATTTATAATATTAAAATTATTCAATATTTTACATTAAAAAACTTACTCATTAACTTGTCCGCCTGTAACAATGACACTGTCTTTAAAGCTGGACATTGTAAAGTAAAGTTTTGAGATTGCCATGTTAGGAGTCTGTATCCACTTTGATGCCTTTTCTGTGTAACACAAATTACTAAATAATCAGATAATCATTTTGGTTAATAACAAATCTTAGAAAACTTACAAATTAATATGGAAGCATTAGCACAAATCATTTTTACCTGAAACTACCACAAACTAATATTTCATCCTTGAACACAACGGCACCTGGAGTAGATTGTAAAATTTTAGAAATTTCTAATCATGATTTGCTACTGCGGCATAACATCTTTTCATTCAATTTGATATATTGAACTTCACATAAATTTACTACAGTGAAACCCTTAATACAAATACATCGAAAGAATTCATCAAATGTCGTATTCTTCACTTTCTGATAATGGAATGTTGTAGATATTTAGTTTTTTAATTAAATGATTATATGGAACTCTTTAAAACTGTTCCCGCATATTCATGGCTATTTATTTATTTTCGCAAATACTGAAATTTATGTAATATAGTATAAAACTCATTGAAAAATTGTCAAGACGACATTTGATAAATTCTTCCGATGTATTCGTTATTAAGGGTTTTACTGTCTGTTAATATAACTTTAAAAATAATTTTCCATCAGACTAAATCCCAATCAAAAAAACTGATCAAGTTGGGTTTAATGGAGTGTCTAGCTATAGCTCAAAGGATTTGAGTCTTTGCCACAAACTTAGATTTTCTAACCCCTAAATTTTTTCAAACTAATGACGTAAGCCTTTGATATTTAAAAAATCTAAGGTTTACACCATTGGGTTGAAAATATATAGGAGTTTGAAAATTTAAATTTGTGACAAAAACTCAGTTCCTTTAGCAGATTTATAGACCAAACGCATTTCTAATGGATCTGAGTTCCCTAAATAAATTAACAAGTAACATGATTTTAAATTGAAATTTTTAAAATTTGATAGGCAATTTAAAAGAAGTGTTTGCGAAAAATTAAAGGTGGTTAAGGCTTACATCGAAAAATTATCGATGGTGATCGCTACTATTACTAATCTTACTTCTATCTGTTTCGTATGTAAGGAGAAAATTGTTAAAAATGACTAATACCGAATATACTTAGTGTCCATATTCCTAAAAAAATCATTCGGATATTACAACCTATAATCATCGATAACTTTTCAACGCATTCTTATAAAGTTGATATTTCACAATATTTTTTACTCGTTTCATATACAATATACTTTAAAGGATGTTTATTTGCCACTAGGTGTCTCTGCTCTCAATGTTTTAGGAGTTCCACATGGAATAGTCTCTAACGACAACTAGTGACAAAAAAATCGTCGTTTAAAGTACTTTGGTACAAGTCGTTTTTAACAATATTCCCCTTAAAGACACAACACAACAGATAGATGCAAGATTGGCAGCGATCACCATCAGTAATTTTTTTGATGTAAGCTGATACCCCCTTTCATTTTTCGCGAACGCCCCCTTTAACCCCTGGAATTTAAGAGCTGCCCAAAAAAAATGCCTGGAATTACTCACAGTTTATAGTTCAAGGAATAACTTACCTTATAAACTAATAGTTTCAAAAATTTATACTTATACTAGCCTTGCTTATTGTTTTAATTGTTTATTCAGCATAGTAGTAGAACATTAGGAAATGTTGGTTAAAGAGAGAGACAAAGTAAGCTGTTGTTGGGTCTTATTTAAGGCTTGAGCTTTTGGGTTCAAGCTGCATCTTATTTACACATAGTTGAGTTAAAAAAACTGGTTTAATGCTCTATTTGGTGGATTTTCATGGTAGGAATTGTCGCTTTCCGCTTTTTTATGAGAACGATTCTCAACATTGAGCCTTACTCTCCACTAAAACCAACCATGGTGAGTTTTATTTTCACTGGGCCTAACTCCTTAAGTCGAGTCGAAGTCGCGTTTGAGGAATTACAGCTCAAGCTGAAGTTTTTATATCGCGGGCTCAGGAAAGGTTATGATGATAATGCAACAGATCTACCATGACTTTCATTGATGATTTCTTTTTAAGAAATATGGCCTACAGAATAATCTTTATTATATGTTTTATCCAGGACATTAAATGATTGTAAAACATGTATCTTCTGATGACCCCTAGTTAAATTCTACAAACGACTATAAGGCTCTTTTTTAGAAATTTTACATTGTAAAAACGTCTCATTTGTATGGTATGACCCCCTAAAATATTTCTCCTTAATACTGCACAGTTTCAGTCCAACTCTACGTTACCTAGCCAGTCTCTTAAATTCAAGCATACTTACTAATTTCAGAGGTCCTTATTGGAAAATCCTCAATTGATGTGTTACAGGGATATCCAATAGTTTCTAAAATAATAAAATTGGATAAAATCACAATGAAAAAGCTGTTAATTATCTTTTTTTCTTTGTATAGAGGGGCTATCATAGGAGGGGAAGAAAGGAACCATGATACCAATGATTGTCATAATGCTTGTTTCATATTTTATGGAATTTTTTTCTGTAGGATTATACAAATTTTATACATTAATGTTGAGATGCCAAATTTGCATTTATACTTTTGTAGAAAATAGGAACTTGGAGAATTTCCTAGATTCCCAGGTATTTGGGTAATTCCATGCTTTTCTTAAATTCCTACTTAAATTTGAGTGTGTTAAGTTTGAGAAATTTGAGGAGTTCCCCAGATTCCCAAGTATTTGGGTAATTCCATGTTTTTCTTAAATTCCTACAGGAATTTGAGTGTGTTAAATTTGAGAAATTTGAGGAGTTCCCCAGATTCCCAAGTATTTGGGTAATTCCATGTTTTTCTTAAATTCCTACAGGAATTTGAGGAGTACCCCAGATTCCCAGGTATTTCCCAAATTTCTTTAAAGGTTGAAGGTGGTATATTTTTAAATTTTGAAAATTTTCCAAAATGATTGAATGATTGGGGAATTTCCTATACTCAAAAAAACCACCTGTAGATTCTACAAAAGAAATTTGGGAATTTCACAGATTCCCAGGTATTTAGGAATTGAATTCCACATATTTTGAGGTATTTGGGGTATTTCCAATTTTGACACTTTTTTAATTGCTGTCACTCCAAATTTGTAAAGTATATTTATCAATCACACTATACTTCACTTTTGCATCTTTGCAAAATTCCAAAATTGAAGCATTCTATAAGAATTATAAATAATTCACTTTTTTTGAAAAATTTGACAGAAAATTAACATTTTGGCAACAAGATATTTTGATAAATATAAAGACAAAAATCAGATACCCATCAGAAAATACTAAATAATAACTTACCAGTGCCTGAAGATCCTCCAATCATAATTGTTGTAAAATCAGGTCTTTTTGGGCCTATTGCCTAATATAATTCATTATTTTAAAAATTAAATCAAGGTTATCTTCAAGATCCAAATAGGAAGGAGGGGGGTGGCACTTGCCAGGCTATACACTTTTTTTTGTAAAACGTGCTGGTTAGACTCTACACTGGGTAGTCCAGACTGGATAGTATTGCTGAATGCACATACAATACAGACACAGCACATGTTGTACCTGATCATGCAATTTTTTAGAGGGAAGTGGATTAGAGAAGGAACAGGGGTAGGGTAGGTCAAAAAAATTCCCTAATGTGCGACACATTTTTTGGAAGCATTTAGGAAATCAGATATCCTTCAATGGTTTATTAGCCTACTGGAGTGATTCAGAAAATGTAAAAATTTTAATGTGAAAATTAAGTTGTTGATACAATATAATGGTTTATAACACTTACAACACATTCTGATGTCAGATTTCCAGGTGCAAAACAGAACAACTCATCTAAATAATTATTGATTATGTTAAATCTAACTCTTGATGAGATAACACCCCTCTACGTTGAAATGGGCATAGGTTTTCTGAACAAACTAGGCTTTTCAAAATGAAAGTAAATAAAGATTAAGCCAGTTAGTAATACTAGCTACATAATAAAATGAGCCCAAGGGGAGACATAGATCAAAAGTAAGTGAATGTTTATACATGAAACATATATTAAGACAAAGACTGTAACTGGAAACAGTATCACATAATATATCATGGAATGAAGCTAGGTTAGAGTCTACGAAGGTGGTCTTCAGCTTAGCATCATCTATGAGGTTGACAAGGAGATGAAGTTTTAGTTGGTTATCTGGGCGCTCTAGGAGGGTTTCTTCTAAGAACCTCGAAGAACCTGGAGGAGAGGACAGAGAATTAGGCAGAGGGCGAGGCAGAGAAAGTGGAGAACTGAACCTAACCCGAGGCGGAGCTGCAGGGGTGAAGAACAATTGGAAGGAGCTTGCCGAGGATGTCCTCTGGTTGGAGGGACTTAAGGAACTATAGCCTTGGTAGAGATTTTTGGTTTGAGCCTGTCTATTGAAACCTTATCTTCCTGAGCTCCTAACTGTAGAGTAAAATATTTGTCATCCTTTTGAAGAACTAGGTATGAACCTAGATACAAAGATTGGAGAGGAGGAGTAGACAAGTCATGACAAACATACATATGGGTTGCAATTTTCAAGGATGCAGGGATTGCAGGAGCTGTTGCACTAACATGGTGACTAGGAGGGGCTGCGAAACTCTGCAGGACGGATCGGATTGGAGACTTGAATACCTCGGAGGGAAACCCTGGAGCATCTAGGAACATACCAGGGAGCATCAAAGGAGAACCATAACAGCTTCCGCAGAGGAACAAGCCTGATCATCCTTTGAAGCAGAACGCAATTCCAAAAGAACCAGGGCTTGATGATGTTTCCAGCCTGAACCTAGTAGTTTGGAACAGAAAGAACTCTTTACAGAATTGTGAAATCTTTCTACCATACCATTACTCTGAGGATGGAATGAGGTTGTCTTTGTATGAGAGATACCAAGGAGCAGGCTAAATTCTTTTCACTAGAAGGAAGTGAAATGTGCACAGTGATCTGAAGTAAGGACCAATGGTAATCCAAACCTGGAAACCCATCCTGAGAGCAGAGCCTAAGATTGATGAGAGAAGAAGGCCATAGTACGATACACCATGGTAAACAAATAATTAAAACTGCCAGAAACTGGTAGAGGTCAAACAAGGTCAACGTGAAGATGCCTGAACCTTCTTCTGGGAATAGTGATTTGTGGAACACTGGAATGAATGTGGGTTCGGATCTTGCTTGTCTGACATGGAAAGCAGGAACAAGTCCATAGGCGGACATCTTTGGACAAATTTTTCCAGACAAAATGTTGAGAGATTAACCTGCAAGAAGCTCAGACTCCAGGGTGAGACAGACCAAGAAGCTGGAGGAACAAGGAGAGAAACAGGAACTAGAGGTCTTGGAACGCCTGTAGAGAGATCAAAGAGAACCAACACTGGGATGGGACCAGTTGCACCCTGAGCACAGATCTTGAAAATAGTTTCTGAACACTGTTCCTGGAGCTGAGCAAGGTTGGAATAATGGATTAACTGAGCCGAGGTCTGAGAAACATTGGAGGAGTGAACTGGAGAAGCTAAACCCTGAGCATGGAGAGAACCGGAAAAACTTAACCTTCAGGGCAGGAACCAGGAGATGCAACCACACAACAGGATGGGAAAGAGCATCAGCCACCATGTTTTCTGAACCAAGCAGGTTTTGGATAGAACTTGTGAACTCCCAGACGAAAGAGAGCTGTCTCTGCTGCCTAACCAACCAAGGCGGAGAAACCTTAACAGAGCATGTGCTAGTGGTTTGAAGTCAGTAAACAAAGTGAACTACCTACCATACAACAGGAACCGGAAGTGACGGATGGCAGAGTAGGCAGCTAGCAGCTCATGGTGGAATGCAGAGTAGTGTGTCTCCAGGTTTGGGAAGCTTTTTATTGTAGAATGCTAGTGAAGCCCAGGACGAGAAGACTCTTTGTTGGAAGACTGCACCAACGTGGGACTCAGGGACATAAACAGCCAGGGAGATTGGAGCTTAGGGAACAGGAATCAGGATGAACCAACCTGTTAACCTGGAGTAGAGCAGATTTGGCACCGCAGGAGAAATTCTTCGGAGAACCTTTCAAAGCTGAGGTCAGAGGGTTAGGAATCCTTGCAGCCTGATGGATAAACTTTCTGTAGAAGTTGATCATTCTAAGGAATCGTTAGAGAGAAGGACATTCTACTGGATGAGGAAACTAAGAGATGGTGGAGCAGTGCTTCTAGAGAGTGTGGAGCCGGAGGCGAATACATGTTGGCAAAGAAATTCCACCTGGTTAACAGCAAAAACACACTTGTCTAGGTTGATGGTGAGGCCGTGATTTCTGCAAAGCCCAAGGACTTGTTTGTGATGATCTTGATGAGGAACCAAATCCTGAGAATAGATGAGAATATCATCCAAGTAGATAAAACAAAATATCTATCAGGAACAGTGACTGTGTTAAGTCTCCTGTAGTCTCCATAGGGGCACCAAAAACCTTCAGACTTCTTAGCGCTATGCAAGTGGCTTGACCATGTGGAACTAGACCTCTGGATGAGGCCTGCAGCCTTCATCTTTGCGAACTCAGCCTTGACAGAGGCCAACTTCTCAGGATCTAAACCTCTTGCCTTTGCAAAAACAGGAGGACCAGGAAAAAGTTGGAAGGTCATGGAACAAACAATGCGAGATTAGAAGCTGTGAAACCATCTGAAGAAAGGATGTCAGGATAATCAGCCAACAACATTCTTGTCTTCTTGGGAACAGACCTCAGGTGAGCACAGAAAGGTGTTGAAGAGGTGTGTGAGGATCCTGTTGATAAAACATCCAGAGAATCTGCGTTTAAAACCTGTTCTCCAACTACTTTGACCAGGAGAAAAAAATTTCTGAGAAAATCTGAACCCAGGATAGGAGTAGTAGCTGGAGCCAGACAAAAACTCCCCTGGAAACTGCAGGAGCCAAACTTGAGAGGGAGTATTTTGTCATCAAAACAATGTAGGGAATCCCCCCCTGCTGTTATCAATCGGGAACCAGCAGGACTGTGAGCAGCCCCAGAAGAGGAACAAGTTGACTGGGGAAAAACAGATATTAAAGCTCCTGTTTGGAGTAAAAATATCTTCCAGAGAGAATCCAGTAGGATTTCCCAACTGAAATTGAGTGAACTTCCTCCTACCTCTGGCCAGCTAATTTCCCGGAACATAAGAACAGGGGCCCTTGATGCCCTGAGCTTCTTCTCCATGAGACCTGTGGTACCAGCACCACCCTGGAGGGCTAGATCTTGATGAGTATGTAGGCCTTGATGAGGCAAGAGGTGGCATCAAAAACATCTTCAACCTCCCGGTTCACTGATGCAGAAGATAAAGTGTTGAGGGCAGCCACTTTACTGTTAGTGCTCTGGGATCCTTGATATCCTCCAGTGTTGCCAACTCCAAAAGAGGGGTCTAGGCCGGAGAGAGGATACAATTAGGCCCAAAATCCAATCTTTAGGCCCATATTTTAGAATTTGGGGCGAAGCCCCCCAACAACAACAGAAATTGGGGGGCGAAGCCCCCCAAATTTTTTTTTGGGCCTAATTTTAAATATTTTACCAAAATACCTAATTTATTGCGACTTTTGATTCAAATATCTTCCAGCAAAAATATCTGAATAGAAAATTAGCCTATGCAACCACATTCAATTTCCATTAAAATTTTTAAATTTTTTTTACAAAATCTGCAACTTTTTGTATTGTTTTATATATATAATACATAATATAAAACAAAGAGAAAATGTTCTCAATTGATATAGATTAGCACGAAGCGACCTGAAAGCTAATAAATTATAATATTTATTTGTATAGAATCCATGATTTGTTCCAGTTTCTACCCAGGGAATAGGTTCAGACATCTCCATATTTTAAACTTTAGTTTACTATATCAACCTTGATATATGAGGTCTGTGAAAAATTCTAAAACTCATGAAGTAATTTCATTCTTACTTTATCCAAACAATGTCTGGCTGTTTTCTTTACCAATTAAGATCAACAATTTTCATTTGGCCCAAAATTAGGCCCACAATTTCCTTAGGCCCAAAGCAATTTCATTTGGGCTGTTTTCTCGTTTTGGGCCTAAAGATTCGGGCGGTTGGCAACACTGATATCCTCCTGGATCAAATGGGAATGAATTTCAGCAGGAAGACAACATAAAAAATATCCCTGAACAAAAACCCATGTTAATGATCTTCTTGAAGCTGGTTTAGCATTTTACTCATCAGGTGGGAGGGCTTCATATCAGCTGAGAAAGGGAGAGAGATGAAGGACTCAAAATGCTGGAAGGAATTCAACTCGTAGAGGTCGAACAAGCTTCCAAGATTCATAGGGCTCCTACGTCGAAGGAGAACAAATCAGGTCTGCTAACTGTTCAGCATCTTCCTTCAAAAGGGCTGCAACTCAATAATAAAACTTGGTCTCACTAGATGTAATGCACTTGATAGCAAACTGTGTGTCGGTAGGAGCGGACCAGGCCTTGGTACTGTTTGGCCAGAAGGTGGGTAGCTTCAAGGACCCAGCTATCCAAATTGCATAAGCAACGTAAACGCATATCATTTTGGCTCCAATTACGCACTTAAAACGCAAATTTACGTAAGACTAGATTTCAAATTAGTGTAAATATCTAATTTTTCTAAAGAAAATATTTTATAACCCAGCTTTAAGTAAAAATATCATGAATTTGTGGAGATGTGTATCATTTTATTTCAGGTATACAAATTGCGTAAAAATAGCCTCAATTTGCGTAATTCCCTAAAACTCTAAATCTAAATTATTTGTGAAAATATCTAAAATTTCCGAAACGGCATGTATTGCATTTTCCAAAAAAATTGAAAAAATAAACTTTTAAAAAGAATTTAAGTTGTCTTTGTTAGCATTAAAATTGCGTAAAAATTGCGCTCTTTTTACGCATATGTTTTGAGTGTTTTAAATATTGAAGAATTGAGTGTGTGCATAGTTCAGAGTGCAGCAATGTTATATTATATAGAAGGCCGTGTGATATGTAGATAAGGGTGGGAAGGGGGGGATAATTGGGCAGAGAATTTACAGTGGTTTTTAGTACCAAATTTCACTACTAGGTGTCTCTATTTGTTTCACGTAAAATTTTAAAAAAGTAAAAAGGATCTGATTAAATTTTTTACTAAAAGTATATCATTTAGAAGTCAAGATTTGGGTTTTAAATTATTTTAAATTTTTTTAAATAAAACATTTTTAATGGAAAATGCACTGAATTTTCTATCAAAAAGTTTTATATAACTTTTAGAACTCATACAAGTATATAGCTTAACGCTATAATCTCTATGTTGAACTGTATTCCGGGTGAATGGAAATAGTTCAGAGAGAGTACCATACCGGTACTCATGAGGGATGGATGGCCTATCTGCATGCATCAAATATTGCATAATTTTTGGTAATTGAGAAAATAAAAATTGCATTTTTGGCATAAATTTGTATAATATTATTACGTAAATTTTATGTCTATTAAAACTAATAAATTTGCGTAGCTAAGTGTGCGATTTTACGTCTTTCATGACATAAAAAGAGCCAAAACCTCTACGCAAAATTTAGGTAAAAATGCAAAAGTGACGCTTAAATTGCGCTCTTTTTGCGCAATTTGGCTAGCTGGGGAGACCAAGTACACAGGGACATCCTGGTCGGTATGGTCCCAAGACTTCATTACAAACCACAGGAGCTGGAACAAAGATGTTGAACCGCCTGTATCTTACTATGCAGAGGGGCTGTGAAGAATACACTGAGCCAGGTGCAATTTCAGCTGACAGTACGGTGAAAAATAAGGGACTTGTTTCCAAACTATAGCTCACCCCTACCCTAGAAACCAGAAGTCGTCCTAAGGATGTCATGAGGTCATTTATTACCTGTGGGACGTCCGAAAATGTCGTATTTTAGGTGTTGAGGACGTTTAATGCAAGGATTGTTACGTCCTCACGACCTAATTTTCAAAGTCGAAATGACGTCAGTTTGGACGTCCAAATGACCAAACTTTTGACTTCCAAATGACCAAACTTTTGACGTCCAAATGACCAAACTTTTGAAGTCCAAATGACCAAACTTTTGACGTCCAAATGACCAAAGTTTTGACGTCCAAATGACCAAACTAGTCATTTATTTATCCTATTTATTAACCACTGAACAGAGCCTAATTTATTCTATTAGTATGGCTACCTTTTAACCCTCCCCCCCTGGTATTACATTTGCACCATAACTGTTCTTCTATTGTTGCTACCCCTACCCCCACCCCACTCGGCACTACCCCTGCATCCCCCTTGTATCACACCATGACCCCCCTCCTGACCAACCTACCCCCCCCCTGAGGTTCATACATTCAATATATCATCCAAATACAATTCATTCATCAATTTATACTTACACTCTAATCTATACCTGCTACAAATGCTGTAGAAAAGAACTTCTATTTGTCACAAAATTCACAATTTACTGACATTGATTTTTCCGAAAACATCAATTAATTCCGTAAAAATTAAAGTTTTCAAAAATGTTATTTTTTCAAATATTTGGGTATTATATCATACAAACCAATTCTTTTGAAAAAAATTATAATATTTAAAAATTTTAGCCATCCAAGGCCAAAAAGTGGCTTTTATTTAAATTTCAGGTAGAGACATCTAGTGGCAAAACTCAGAAGGTTCTAATCTGACCTAATACGACCTAAATCCAACTTCAGGGCACTGGTTAGGTTGTGACCAGTTATGACCAGTTATGACCAGTTATGATCAGTTTGGCAATCCAACCAAGCAAGACCCAATCTGACTTATAGGTCAAGTTATGAACAGTTAGGACCTTAGGTAAAGCAACCAAGTCCGACCTAATCCAACCCAATCCAGTTTGGTCTCTTGACTTAACTCGACCAAATCCGACCTAAGTGGATTGGTCAAGTTAAGACTAGTATGAGACCAGTTAGGTAACTCGACCTAACCCAACCTAACCTGACCAAACACAACCTAGGGGGACTGGTCATGTTCCAACCAGTTATGTCTCCTACCATAACTCAACCAATCATAACCAAATCCGACCTAAGTTGATTGGTCAGGTTAAGACCAGTATGAGACCAGTTAGGTAACTCAACCTAACCCGACCTAACCTGACCAAACACGACCTAGGGGGACTGGTCATGTTCCGACCAGTTATGTCTCCTGACATAACTCAACCAATCATAACCAAATCCTACCTAAGTTGATTGGTCAGGTTAAGACCAGTATGAGACCAGTTAGGTAACTCAACCTAACCCGACCTAACCTGACCAAACAAGACCTAGGGGGACTGGTCATGTTCCGATGAGTTAGGTCTCCTGACATAACTTAACCAATCTCGACCAATTCTGACCTAATTGGATTGGTCAGGTTAAAACCAGTATGAGACCAGTTATTCGGCCTAACCCGACCTAACCTGACCAAACATGACATAGGGGGACTGGTCATGTTCCGGCCAGTCTGGTAATCTGACGTAACCCGACCTAACCTGACCTAACACAACCTAAGGGGACTGGTCATATTGCGACCAATTTGATAATCTGACACGCAACCCGACCTAACCTGACCTATCTCGACTTAATGGGACTGGTCGCGCGACGTTGCTGGTTTCTAGGGTTAGGAAGATGTGGATCAAAAGTAAGTGAACATTTATTCATAAAACATATGTATGTGAAGACAAAGACTGTAACTGGAAACAGTATCACATACTAGATTGTGGAATGAAGCTAGGTTAGAGTCTACAAAGGTTGTTTTTAGCTCCGTTACAAGCACCTGATTTAGCTGAAGTTGAAGTTACTATTGTGAATAAATCTACAATGTCTAATTTATTCCAAAATATAAAACTATATAAAAGCTAGCATAGCTGCAAATAAATTCCTATCTCTGCCCCTTTCTTGTCTTTATCTTCTATCAGAGTTTACAGTTGAAAAGTGGAAAAAAAAACTGTAAAGGAACTAATGACTTAGTTAAAAGTGGCACTTCAGCGAAAAATGGGCTTCCTTGATTCACACCCTTAAAAGCTTTGTCTGGTCAGGAATGCATGAAATATCAAGTATCTTGATATTCAATTGTAGTTTTTCTCAAAAGTGACTTGTGGATTTCCGTTCTCAAACAATTTAGAGGAAACTGTCAAAATTAGGAACATTTGAAGATTGAATAACAATGATATATTCCAAACTATTGATCAGATGATAAAGGTTTAAAGATTTATGCCGTCGTAAATGGGGCATGCACACCTGTAAATGGAAAATCACTCTTAAGTACAACAACAGTTCCTTTAAAGGGAGTGACTGGCAATGTGCGGTAGTTGAATTGAGAATGTAATATTGTGGAGACATTTGTTAGGATTGATTTGAGACTTAAACGTTTTAATGATGTTTAATTACTGAGTTTGAGTGCAAAGTCGACGTTCAAAAATATTCATTTGGGTGGTTACGTTTTGAGAATTGATTTTTTGAAAATTATTAAATAACGACGACAAAAAATGTAAAAAAACCTCTACAGTAAACTTATTAGATGTTTAGAAACATATTTCTCAATTGAAATTTTCTCAATAAATCAATGTTAGAATTAACAATTTCTTTTTCATCATTATATTGAATTTCTAATTCTTTAGGAATTTGTTAACAGATTTCTTCAACTCCTTCAAATGTCGTCTTTTCAATAAAAATTCCAGGAAATCTTTAGAAAATGTTTATGAACAATGAAACGAATAACTGAATAAAATTACTTATGTTCAATGACATGACAATAGTTAATTTTTATTCTTTCAACCTTTTCCTAAACAACTAATTAGTTTGCTGTATAATTACTTTTCTTTGTGGTTTTGAATGATTTTTTAAAAACCGAATCCCAATATCATCCTACAAAAATAAACCATCTATGTGGATTTTAAAGATTGAATTTGCTCTCTTGCTGAGCAAATATGCACTGTAAAAACGTCTTATAGGTCTCAAATGATGCATAACAAATTTTGCCACAGTACTACATTCTCAGTTCAACCTTCATACATTGCCAGTCACTCCCTTTAAAGGCAAAACTACTACCTAGACCCATCTTGGTGTAGATGCATCCATCCTTGCACTCTGCAGGAAGGGTGCTAACATCCATAGTAGTGTTAAAAGTGTAGGTTCCTGAACGACTATCTCCATCACCGGTAATAATCTAATAAATAAAATAACATTATATCAGAGATCGAATACAGCGGTTCAACTGTTCAGTATGTATAAAATGCCTTTTTTTCAACTGCTAAATGTGCACCCTTCAGAAGGTGGGTGGTGAGGAAAGTAAAGGTCGGAGAGTGTTATGAATGCCAGAAACAAGCTTAAAACAATTGATTTAATGAGAATCGATACCCATATTGTATAACATGCGCATAAAATAAACACAGAGTGGGGATGGGGTCTCTTTAAAAACATGAAGGTAGTTGGGGTAGTGAGGGTAGTTCCCATACTGATTCAGCTTCAAGGGTGGAGGTGGGGTCTCTCTAAAAACAGACGGGGTAGTTGGGGTAGTAAGGTTACCGTCTGTTTTTAGAGAGACCCCACCCCCACTCTTGAAGCTGAATCAGTATGGGAACTACCCTCACTACCCCAACTATAACCTTCATGTTTTTAAAGAGACCCCATCCCCACTCTGTGTTTATTCTATGCGCATGGTATACAATGGGTGCACATTTCTTAGTCGGAAAAAAGGCATTTAGTAGGGCAAACCAGCAGAAAAGCAAAATTAATATTATAGAAAATATATGTCCATGGAAATCTGGTGTGAAGTATCTAAATAGTTTAAATAAGCCCCTCCCCCCCCCCCCGAGGCCCTACATTTATTTTTATTCCTCCCCTTACCCCTCTCTTTAAACAATCAAAATATATATTTTTTATACTTTTCCCCTTTTTCTTCACTGCCTTCTCCGTTTTTTTTAATTTCTTTTTGTTTCGTTTATTGAATTTAAAGTTTTAATCAATGATAAAATGCATAATTTGTTCACAAAATAGCCCCTTAAAAACAACCAGCGATGGCTAGAGAGATCCTGGCTATTAGAAAGACAATTCAGGCGAATTTTATATCTATCTATCTACCTTTCTTGGACAGCAAGAAGTTGTGGGTGTGGTTATTTCCTCAGATGTTGCTGTCTTCAAGATTCCAAGAGAAAGAACTAAAGCTAAGAAAAGAAGGTGTGTGTTCATTTCTGAGTTTAGTTTTGGACTAAATATATAGTCTAAATGACAAAATAATGAAAACTCTACATCTGGTAAAACATTTTTTATTACTTCATTATTATTAATATTATTACTTAATTTCCTATGATTAATTCCATCTCCCAACCAACACGGGGAAGCGCCAGCTAGCATGCAAAATTGGTGGGATGTCCCTCCCTGAAAAATTTGGGGCAAAACTTAAGAGCGCATGCACATTTCAGTTTTTAAGAATTAATTTAATCAAATTATTTTATTAACGAAGTATATCAAGATTAAAACGAAGATAACACATAATTTTCATTAAATGACCAAACATAGGACAAAACAAACAAAGGACAAGACAAACTGGGAAAGACAAACATAGGAAAAGACAAACATAGGAAAAAACAAACATGGGACAAGACAAACATGGGACAAGACAAACATAGGACAAGAAAAACGTATGATAATACAAACATAGGACAAAAAAAACGTAGGACAAGACATACATTGGACAAGACAAACATAGGATAAAACAAACATGGGACAAGACAAACGTAGGACAAGACAAACATAGGAAAAGACAATTATAGGATAAGACAAAAATAGGACAAGACAAACAAAGGAAATGACAAACATAGGACAAGACAAACATGGGAAAAGCCAAACTTAGAAAAAAAACATAGGACAAGACAAATATAAGACAAGACAAACAAACGACAAGACAAACGAATGACACGTCAAACATAGGACAAAACAAATGTAGGACAAGACAAACATAGGACAAGACAAACGTATGACAAGACAAACATAGGACAAAAAAACGTAGGACAAGACATACATAGGACACGACAAACATAATACAAAACAAACATGGGACAAGATAAACGTAGGACAAAACAAACATGGGACAAGACAAACGTAGGACAAGACAAACGTAGGACAAGACAAACATAGAATAAGACAAACATAGGACAAGACAAACAAAGGGCAAGACAAACATGTGACAAGACAAACATGGGACAAGACAAACAAAGGACAAGAAAAACGTAGGACAAGACAAACATTGGACAAGACAAACATAGAACAAGACAAACATAGGACAAGACAAACAAAGGGCAAGACAAACATGTGACAAGACAAACATGGGACAAGACAAACAAAGGACAAGAAAAACGAAGGACAAGACAAACATAGGACAAAACAAACATGGGACAAAACAAACGTAGGACAAGACAAAAAAAAGGACAAGACAAAAAAAGGACAAGACAAAAAAAAGGACATGACAAACATAGGACAAGACAAAAATAGGACAGGAAAAACATTGGACAAGACAAACAAAGGACATATAAACATAGGACAAGACAAACATAGGACAAGACAAACATAGGACAAAACAAACATGGGACAAGACAAACGTAGGACAAGACAAACATAGGACAAGACAAACATAGAACAAGACAAATATAGGACAAAATAAACATAGGGCAGACAAACATAGGACTATAGAAAACATAGGACAAATTTACTCAAGAAATTAGTTATAAAAAAATGAAAACATTTTTATAAATATAAAGAGGATAAACTTATTAGGTACAGGGGAAATACAGTTTATCTAGACATTTTAAAGATTACAACGGTGTGAAACAAGGAGCAGTTTCCTCTCCTTTCCTATTTTGTATATACATGAACAAATTGATATCAAGGTTAAGAGTTTATTGCACTGGATGTCAACTTGGAGGAGTTTCCCTGGGCATATTAATATATGCAGACGACATTATATTGCTTGCTCCTAGTGTAAACGGTTTACAAAATATGGTGAATGTATGTGAACAATTTGCAAACTTATTTTCAATGAAATCGAGTACTAACAATGTAGTTGAAAAGTCCAAGACTAAGTGTATAATTTTTACAAAATATCCAATCGTACTTAAAAAAATTTGCCCATTTATCTTAATGATGTACCATTACCAGATATTGATTATGTAAAAAATCTTGGGTGTCATAGATATTTTTTGATAAATCTTTTAAAATCTGTTCAAAGGTATTATTAATTTTAAATTTTTGTCTGTTGAATTGTACAAATTATTTAAATTGTGTACGTTCACGAAATGAATAAATGAACAAATTAATAAGACTGAATTTAAAAAAATACATACATACATATTTAGATTTTAAAGTTCTTTTTTCATTGAATCAGATTTCTTGCGCATAATTATCATTGTCATAATTACTCTTAGCTGAACATTATCATACCTGAGCTGAAAACTTTAGAATGGGGGATATTGGGATTAATGCTTGATCCTCTCTTTTTGATAATCTCAAGATCAACATAATCTTGCAAGATTATCTTAAAAGCGTATGAAAAACAATAAAAAAAATATTTAATCATCTGAGAAACTGTAGCAGCCAATCAAAGAAAAGTGGGCAACCAATGAGAGAACAGAAATATTCTCATTGGAGAAAACAATTAACGGATATCCAAGGAGAGAGAAAAACAGTGGATTAGGACTAAAATGAAAAGTTTCCACAGTGGATATTCGGATCATGAAGTCAGGATTAAAGTTTATCCATTCTAAAGTTCTCAGCTCTGAGCTGGGAACTTTAGAATGGGATATCATTAATCCCGATCTGTTAATTAATATAGAGATTATTAATAACATATTGAGAACAAGCCTTATTTGATCTCGAGATTAAGAAAAAGAGTGGACCAAGCATTAATTCCGATATCCACCATTCAAAAGTTCTCAGCTCTGAGCTAAAAACTTTAGAATGGTGGATATTGAGATTATTGCGTGATCCTCTCTTTCTAATATCGAGACTAATCTAATCATGTACTTGTATCCTGAAAAGTGTATAAAATTCAACCAATCAGAGTCGCGTATATGAAGCCGATAAATTTGAAACTTTGCGCGCCATTTAAGATTATATACAGAAATGGGAAGAACTCGCTAATTTAGAAAAACCGGTTTTTGATTTCTCTCTGCTATATCCATTATCCAAGAATGAATGGTTTAAGAAGAAAATCAAAAGTGTGCTCATTGGTTACTCAGATTTAGTAATCGGGATTAAGGATATCTCATTCTATAGTTTTCAGCTCTGTTCTGTTTTCTCTCATGTCCTCATCCTTCTATTTATTTAAAATTATGTTCATCTATGATTGAAATATATGCTTCCCATCCTATTTAACAGAGACGTATCAGATTGTATTCGGAGCGTGTTGCAGGCTCCATTCTCAACTATAGTTTTTTTTTTAACAATTATGATTTTTTTCCCGCGGATTTGAAAGATTTTTTTTTATGAAATTATTATGACTTGTTTTTACCTTGCTTGTCTCTGTGCTATGTTTGTATATTTTGAAAATTATTGACATTGGTGTGTGTGTAAAAAACACGATTATTGTTTGATTAATTAGATGGATCTTTTGAGTAAGCATTCAAAAACGATGAAATAGACCGCATTTGTTGGGTGTTTGTTCGTTTGTTTGTCAGACCATAACTCAGAAACCTCTGGACCGATTTGCCTCAAATTTTGATTGGGGACCTTGGGAGGCCTACGGGAATGTTATTAGCTTGATTATAGGATTCTAAATTGAGTGGGTCGATTTTTATAGCGAAAAGTTAGTTTCCCGGTAAAATCGCTCAAGTGCGGGTAAATGGCGGGAGTAATTATGAGTAACCTGGGCAACATTATAGAAGAGAAGAAATTAAAAAATTTCGTCAGATTAAATTTTTCACTATTTCCGTTTCGCTCGTGAAAAAATAATTCAGATTTAGGATTTAAAATAATTCTTAAGAGTACGAAGAAACAGGTGTCACTTGCCTGTTAAACTATAGATTTTTATGACATTTTTAATTAAAATCTTAATTAAGATCTTTACATAATTAAGTTAGTACTTTAGATTGAAAATTGCATTTTTACAACACAAATGGAAAATAACCAGAAAATTAAAAAGCAAAAATACAACGCAGTAAATGTGCTACTTAAATTTAACTTTGGGCAACAAATTTTGCTTTGACTGAATTCGATATAAAAAAGTAATAAAAATGAACCAATTCCTGTAAAAGATTTAGGTAAATTGCTGATGACACATAAATTTGACAAAATTACCATAAGAGCGTGTAATTTTAATTATTAATATTTATCAGAAACTATTTCGTTTGCTTTCAGATTTGTACTGCGCGTTTTTTATCACTAAACACTCAAAAATGAGAAATGTTATTGTTTTTAATTTAAATCTACGGAAATTTACACTTAATATCTTCGGACCAACAAAAAATTCTCATAAGCTGAAAACTTTAGAATTTGGGATATCGAGATGGATGCTTGATCTCTCTTTTTATTAATCTTACATTATTTATCCAGGAAAGTATGTAAAATGCACCAATCAGAGTCTCGTTTTTAGAAAGATTTGAGAGCGATTAATGAGATTTAGCAATCGGGATTTTAAGGGTATCCAAGTTTACAGCTCAAATTTCTATAAATAATACATTATCCTTGATGAATATATTCAGTTTCCGACGACAGTTAGTTTCAATAAATAAAATATCTTTTTGGTAATTAACTTACCTTGCGCCTGTCATACATGATACATTTTAAAATATTTGAAGAAAAAATCACGGATTTTTTGTTTTATTTATTTAAATTTTTATTTCCACAAGTGATCATTTCAATTAATAATGAAGGAACTTAAAATGTCCACTTCTGAATGACTAGTTCACCGTTTCTTTTTGTCTTTATTTGGAAAAAACAATTTTAAACTTTTAAAGTGTTTTCTATTTTCGAAGAACTACATCTTGTAACCAGAAGATTTTGCTATGCAAACTTTGTGTCAATACAATCTTTGTTTGGGATGATTAAGGGACGTTTTCAAGACCGAAAGGAAATGACATTTGTTGATGTTACCTAGTATGCACATTTTCAGAACGGTCTAAAACTTTTTAATTAGACAATTTTTTTGTGAACGACCCTTTTTTCAATCTTTCTTCAGTAAAAACTATTGTTTTTAAAAAAATTTTTCGCTGGTTTTTGCAAACGATCGTG